GTCTTTTGGCCCCGTGCCCTGCCCTACCCTAGTTTGGGGCCCCTGCCCTTCTCTGCCCTCCAGCCTTGTGACACGTCCTGCCATCAGACCCCGTGCCGCTGCCTTGTCTTCAGGTAATGTGCCCTGCCCTGCCATCAGGCCTTGTGCCTTCCCATGTCCTCATGCCCCGGCCCCGCGCCCGTCCTCGAGCCTAATGCCTTGCCCTGCCTCAGGCCCTGTCCTGTCATGTTCTGCTTCCTGGCCTCATGTGCAATGTGCAATAATTGTGCATTGCCCTGCCCTTAGACCCTGTGCCCTATTCTGCCATTAAGCCTTATGCGTTGTATCGCCCTCAGGCCCGTGCCCTGCCTCGCCCTAAGTTGCTGTGCTCTGCCCTGTTGTCAGGCTTTGTGCCGTCCCATGCCATCAGACCCTGTGTCCTACTCTGCCCTCAAGCCCTGTATTCTGCATTGCCCTAAGGTCTCGTGTCCCATGCCCGCTCTCAGGCGCTGTGCCCTGCCCTGTCATCAGGCCCTGTGGTGTCTCCCGCCCTCAGGTCCCGTGCCGTTTCCCGTCCTCATGCCCTGTGCCCTTACCTGTCCTCAGAACCCGTGCTTTGTTCTGACTTCATGCCCTGAGCCTTGCCCTGCCCTCAGGCCCCATACCCTGGCCCTGTTTCACCGGTGATAGCAGCACGCTGCTATTACACGTGTCAAATTGGGTTTCCAAGGAGACATCAACAGGCCCATTGCTCAAACACTACCACAAGTATGACGTCAGCTCGCGGAATTTGATAGCAGCGTCCGTGAAACACCGCCCACGTCTTGTCATACCTTCGGGGCCCGAAGGTATGACAAGACGTGGGCGGTGTTTCGGGCCTTGTGCCATACCTGTGTCTTATGTCTTGCTCTACCTTTAGGTACTATTTCTTGCCCTGCTCTAAGATCCTGCGTGTTGCCCTGCCATCAGGTGTGTTGATCATCAGGTGTTCTAAGACCCTGTGTCTTGCACTACTCTCCGGCCTTGTGTAATGATAGCCTCAGACCCGCGCCTTGCTTTGCCCTCGGACCCTGCATCCTACCCAGCCCTCAAGTATCCGTCTTATCTTAGCTTCATGCCCTGTGCCTGCCCTGTCCTTAGGGCTCAGACTCTGTGTCCTCCCCTTCCCTAAAGTCCTGCTTAGAGATGTCAAGTTGGAGCCCGCAGGCCCGGAGCCTGGCCCAAAATCCGGCCCTACAGGGCTTTTGCATGCACAGTGGATTGTATCATTGTTTTGAGGTACCTCATCGAAACGCATCGACTGATATGCGACATGATCTATCTTGGTCACGAAATGGCCTTAATGTGAGGTCAAGTTCTGACCTTGACATTTCGAGGTAAAAATGAGAGAAGAACGATCGTGCAAACGAAAATTCTCTACCTTTTTTTAGTTCAAAAGCTTTTCATGAAACCTATATTGACAAAAATTGTAATTTTACCCGTTTCTGGCTATGGAGCCTTAACCGTTGATCTGAACTCAATTCTGACGAAATATTGACGAAAGAGCTGTTCAAAATATATCGATTGCTTTTCTCCTATCGATTGCGCCCTCCTAGCTATCATAGTTTTTGAGATACCGGCACGTTTTCCGAAAAAAATATCGCATCATTGCGAAGTTTGACATTTGATGGCATACGGTCAGATCAGGGCCGTCATGGCCGTCTGGCCATAGGAGGATATAGAGGGAACCCCGGGGCCATGCTCCTCCCCCCCCCCCCCAAAGCGCCCGGAAATGGCACAAAATCGACACATTTCTGGGCATAATAATTAAACAAAGGAACTTCCATTGGGAAAAGTTTGGGTTATATAACATGATAGGCAGTAAGGAAGCGAAATCCGAAGCATCCAAAGCATCCGTTCATCCAAAGCATTAATTTATGATGGATTTTTTATGTAGCTTTAAAATCCGATGATTTCTTGTCACAACTTAGGTGGGTACTGTTTGACCTTACGTCATCTAATTATTTCAAACACATAGTATCTTCAATGCAAATTGGCAATGTTTCACACGTCAACCTCTATTTTGAATCGATTGATAAGGGTGAAAAACGCATGAAGAGACGTATGTATCACATTTTAATCATGTGCATATTCATTTTTATTCTCTAAGCATAGGTACAATTTGGTGCGTCAAGGGAGGTCAAACACGCCCAACGCCGTTCAGGAAAACGAGTGACTAACAACAATGTAAATGTCATTAAATCGCCGGTCCGCCCTTTGAATGCGGATAAAGAACGCACTACGACTGGGCGAATTTCGAGACTGGCCAAAAGCAATAACAGCCCGCTCCCAATATCCCGCTTGCAGTGCCCCTCCACCAGCACAGTACATACACAGTCACAATGTATCTGTACATTATCTCACTTGCATTATATACTATTTCGCTTGCAATGTGCCCTTTCCGATCAAAGCGTGTGCCCTATGCCACCTTTGGGACGCAGTGAAAAATCCTTAAAATATGCCCTGTCGCAAACAGACTGCAGGAAAAAGTGAAGGCATTTTATGATGAGTGCATCATTCGTGCCTGAAATGATAGATCCCCGCAAAGCACGACACATGCCGTTCCGTGAGCGGTCAAGGTATAGAGAGCCCAAGGGCAAAGACGTGAAGAAAAAAAAATATACAGGATGAGGCGACTAGCCCTGCCACACATCTAACAAGCTGAAACTTTTTTTGTCATTCATCCCATCATGGCAAAAAGGGTAAAAAAGCGACTCACAACAGTGAATGAGACTTCGATGTAACATATCATCATTGGCTCAGATGTCGACCACGCATCAGCTAAGGTAATTTCAGCAATTGTGTCAAAACTGAAGCATTCGCTCAGCATCATGCCGATCTCATTTTGTGCTCCTTGTTCTGTGTCAGTTTCGTGTCATGTACGAATGCAATATGTCAATGATACCATGGATGCAATATTATGTACCGGTTATACTGGTATGTTATCATTGGCTTCGCCTCTGCACCATGTATCAGCAGAGCAGACGCCAAACTGGGGATTTATGTGTGATGCATCGCTGATGTACAACTACTGATGCACTGTCTGTTTTATTACTTTCCGTGAGTATTACAATACATAGTAGTACTGGTTGTTCCTTCTTGGTCTTGAGCTTCACCATGTGGTTGCTATATACCGATACCACATTATTTGCCGACGTGTTGTGAATTGTGATCGCTATACAAATGCAGCTTCAGAGTTCGATATACTATAGGTACTACTCGACAGGGTTGTGCTTGACTCATGAGTCGAGTCAGAAATTTGACTCAACTCTGACTCAAAAGAATCAGTTTTGAGTCGAGTCGGATAAAATGTTGAGCTGTTGAGTTGAGTCAGAGTTGAGTCGGACAAAAATATTAAGGCGTTGAGTTGAGTCAGAGTTGAGTCAGTAAAATAACTTTTGACATTGAGATGAGTCAAACATTTAGGAACATGAGTCAGCTGACTAAACTTTCCAGAAACTATATATATTAGCTTTTCATCCCCCCCGCTTAACAACTTAGCCTTGGCTCTGCTGCCGGATTTTTTTCACCCCCCCCCCCCACTTCAAAACTTTTTATCTGAATCAATTTTGAGTCAAGTAACTTGACTCAACAAAAAATTTGAGTCAAGTTTGAGTCGACTCATATTTTCATCGAGCCGCTTGAGTCATGAGTCGAGTCAAGGGAAAAAATCAGCTCCTTGTTTGAGTCAGAGTCAAGTCAGGGCTTTCTGAAGTTGAATGATGAGTCGAGTCGGCAAATTTTTTTGAGTCGAGCACAACCCTGCTACTCGATATACTACTTATATAAAATCCACTAATCTCATTCAATCCACCCACCATCCGTATTTTCCTCCGACAACCCCGAGTTCGCTTCTGTTCCAGCAGAGTTTCACGGCCACCGGCACACGCGGGAACCCCAGACCGTAAATCACCGTGTGTTGACAGTCCCTCCCCGCCGGTCGGCGCGACTCGCGGGTTTTATTACATGGGGGAACGACAGGGACCGAGGCGGAGACCCATACGACATCTAGCGGCATTCCCTTGAACCAACAAAACCGTCAAAAAGTGGATATGAATCGGGCTTAATTCCAGTCACAGTTCAGATATTTGTGAAAAGTAAACTTCACTTTCGTGTGAAGAAATGTTCTGTGCACATTTCTATGTAGCCGGTTTTTTGTTTTATGCCTCACACAAAAAATGAAAGATGAGCAAAGTTTTACTTTCATTTTTTGCAACATTGCAAAAAGAAAATGGAAAATCGGAGTACATAGAATTGTTGTCCACTTTGAGGAGATGCGGGTGCCATTCATTTTTTGCGCCTAGTTTGAATGACATTTAATGAATTTCGGCTCAAACTTTTCAGTTTTTCCACCTTCATCGTGCAATATCAACGTGAATATTGCACGGAATCAAACAACTTGTCCAAAGTAGGGTTTGTATACCCATGGAGCAGGTTCATGCCAAATTTGAGGCTAATATCTCTATCGGTTTTCAAGATATTGCGGGTTTTCACCTCCCATTGACTTAACATTAACATCACGAACCAACCCGGCATGATAAGCGTTAGACAATAGTTGTTCAAAATACATAAAAGTCGTTAACCTAATGTGGACCATAAAAGAACGCCATGATTCATAATCTGACAACAAAACATAAAAATCACTCATAAAACACATTTTTGGCTATATCTCCCGAAAGAGTCATCACAATTTCTTTCCAGTCTGCTCATATAATGATCATATAGTGCACGTTTTATAGAAGAGATGATGTTTCCCCAGAACCTTGCCAGTTCCGAGAAACATCGGTGAGGCGTTTTACCTCGGCGGGGCGACTTGCCCCAGTCTACCCTATGTAATGAAATGAGCCCCAACCAGTTTTGTCAATCATTCTCTCAGCAAATCTTGCGCTGTGTTCAAAAAGACGTTTACTATGCGGGTCAAAAATGTAAGAAAAAAAAACAGACTAAAAGCGTTAGCCAGAAAGGAAATAAAATGTAGTTACCTGGAATGATGAAAGATGGCAAACTATTCAGCTTCGTCATTCTATGAACTTGTTCATCAACAGAGAACTCACAAGGAATGACTACCTTGGTGGTCAGGCTGCATTTCACATTCCCTGTAGAAAACTCAAACTGAAATAGACTTTCTTCGTGCATTATTACAATAGTAGGTGCTTATGCAATAACATCATAGATATTTCTATCTGGAACTTCGCGGGGCATACTGATATACTTCAGTCTTTGCAGCTACTGGATGGAGCATTGGAGCATCAAGCACTCCTGGAAAGAAAAGAGACATGGTTAAAAGTGGTACATGTCACATTGTGATGATATCTGACAATCGGCACACCCAGTTCTGCGACATTATCTGACAGTCGGCACAACGCGATGACAGTCGGCACAATGCGAGTTCTGCGATGATGTCTGACAGTCAGCACAATGTCCAGTTGTGCGAGTGGTTCGATCTGGCCCCCTTCTGCTCCTCCATCAGTCAGGAGCTGTCTCAGATGCGGGCCAAACAGCGGCAGGTGCTCTATTAGCTGTTCGGCGTTGTCGAGCACAGCGGTCGACTGACCAGTGGCCACTATACAGCCTATGTGCGCGTCCGACGCCGGCACAGCCAGCTCACGGTCAACCCGGCGCTGCTCACCACGCTCGTCACAGACGCGTTCGCCCTGGCATGTGAGCGAGCAGGGCAGTGCGCGACGCAGATCCAACCGGAGGCCACGGATGGATCGTCCCCGGCCAGAGCCAGCCGGCCGGAGCTAGTCGCCCGGAGACAGACGTCCCCGGCCAGAGCCAGTCGGCCGGAGACAGACGTCCCCGGCCAGAGACAGCCGGCCGGAGCTAGTCGCCCGGAGACAGACGTCCCCGGCCAGAGCCAGTCGGCCGGAGACAGACGTCCCCGGCCAGAGCCAGCCGGCCGGAGACAGACGTCCCCGGCCACAGCCAGCCGGCCGGAGACAGACGAGCTCAAGCCGGATATGGAGCCGGAAGCAGGCCGGTGGTTTCATGTTAGCGACACCCAGGTCACTGAAGTGACATTGGACAGGGTGCTAAGCTCATCGGCATACATGCTGTTCTACGAAAGGGTGCTGTAGAATGGGTATTAGGCATGATGACGGTGTCTTTGTCCGTTTTGTATTACCGATAAAACTACTTGTTTGGTGATTGTGGGGATTGTGGGATGTGTATGCAATTGTCGCATGTCGAAACTGCTGGTTGCGTGTCACATAATGAGGTTGAAAACTCATTTGCCTATGAAAATAAAAACTTCGTTGTCTGACCAATTTCATTGAAGACGCTCAAATTGTTTGATCGCTAGCCAATTTTTGCTTCTGCTTTACGCAGGAACTATGAAAAACACCTGAACTTTGCTACTTTTGACGCTAGGCTAGCCCTCGCCAGGCCAGGGCTTTTTTCATCACGCGGACGGCCGGGGGGGGGGGGGAGGGGGTATGACTCCTCCCTTGGCGATTGGCTCTGATGGCACTTGCCACTTAGAAACACCAAATTTACAAGGTAGATGGGTCCGTAGGAGATCTAGCCCCTGTGTAAATTTGGTTGTTCTTTTTTGTGAATTTTTAAGTGAACTTAACTTAATAAATTGAGTTCAAGTTAACCAAATTGCTTCATATTGCATATCATTCGATTTGGCTGATCACAAAAAGTACAATGACACTAAACAGTGGCGCGGGAAGTGGAAACTTCTTCCAGACTGGAGGGGGGGGGGGGGAGGCTGAACCATAATAGAGATCAACCTAGGGTACCCCTAAATCTAGTTTCCTCACCGGTTTTAGGCCACTTATTTTTCAGACCTTAGCCTTTTCAACAAAAAAAAAACGAAAATATTTGCAAAAAAGTGAGGTATTCCATATCAGCTGAGTGGCAACCTGGAATCAAGGTTTAAATCTGCCAAATGAGTTGCCGAGCCAGTGAAAGAGGTGGATGTTTTCACACATGCTTTCTTCCTTTGTGACCCACAACCCCTAATTTGGGGAGGAAAAGCTGCCCCAACGGTTCCTGGCCTCATGAAAAGCTATGGGGCACCGCCCCCACGGCCCCAGAGTTGTGGGGGCAACTGGCAAGCTTCCCCCACTGCCCGCTCCCCCGGTTCCCGCGCCTATGTATGAATCTATGAATTTATGTTGGTATATTTCCGATTTCGATTCCTCCAGCTGGGGGGCTCAAATACATTACGAGCCGCCGCCCCAGCCGAAATGTTGGGGAGCTCAGCCCCCGCTAGTCCCCCCCCCCCGGTTCCCGCGCCACTGACACTAAAGCGATTTTATTTATGTGTAGGGGACGATGGGGTAATTTGGCCAGCAGTGTAAAGTGGCCGCCGCCACCTCCCATAGCCGGCGGAACGATTTGAGACAAAAAGGGGCATAAGCTCGAGTGGTTAAACCTAGGGCACCCTCAAATCCTGTTTTCTCATCGGATTTAGGCCACTTATCCTTTGCCGGCCGAGGGGGGGGGGCGGGTGCCTCCCCCCTCCCATAGGTTTTTCGCGATAGCTCCGAACACGCTGGCGATAGTGAGTTGAAACTTGGCATACCTGACCTTTGATTCAAGCCGGATCTTTTGACACCAACCGCATTTTCGGGTCAGGTCAGGTCACCGACCTATGACGTCATAAGTGAACCTTTGCACGGTCTTCAGATGCGCAACTTCGCAACGCCCTCACTGCCAGAGGGCTGTTCGTGTCCGGGTCCCTGCAGCATAGATCTGTGCTGCGTGCGTCATACCTGGGTGACGTCAACCGCCTGGCTCCGCCCACCCTCCGCCGGCACGCCGGAGCCGAGCGCCGCTGCAGCCTATTCCAAACACGGCGAACCGTGGCGCGGGGAGACTGGTGATTGTCCTTGAAATGACCGTTAAAATGCGTTCAAATGTGGTTCATAGCAATGTGCCACTGAAAGGAGTGATAATGAGACCCAAAAAACAGCATATAAACCACTTACAATAAGAAATATTGGATGGTAAACTTAAATCCGTGCCACTTTCGTCCCCTGCAGTTACTATTTTCGTGCTGCAGGAAAGAGAAGTATGCTTCAGTAGGTGACGTCACACAGGCGATGACGCAGTGGTGTCGGCGGAACTAAAAGAAGCGACAGCCCTCACTGAGCATGCGTGCTGCAGCATAGAGCAAGGTGCCTAATTAGCGACCCTTTCCTATTTGCGACCTACCTCTCTACAGAAAAGCTGACAAGAGAAATCGAAGTAAAAACAATGTCAAAAGGTCTGCCATACTTTGGTTATCAAACTAAATTATTTTTCGGTTGTCGGTGCTTCTGGTGGAACGTTTTAGGGGAGTTTAGATAAAAATGGCCAGTTGCTTATCCAAAACGTGTGTAGGTATTTGTACCCTGTCTGATGAAAAGCGATGCACATTAAGATAATGCACCTTTTTATTCTAAATCGACAATCCTTTTCCAATTGATTGCCGTTTTCCCGTAGTGAATCGCGTACCTGAGCACTGCATGGTGGTCAAAAATGTGTCGTAACCCATATTTCCTATTTGCGCCCGACACGGTCGCAAATAGCCCAAGAAGGGAAAGAAAGGGGAAAAGAGTAAAGACAGAAATGAAAATGAGGTGTTGCTGGAGCTTACGATGCGCGGCTGGTGATACCAACTGTCGTCACCGACTGCAGGGGTGACGAATCCAGGGTCGGCCTCGAGTATCATGCGAGATAGCCCGCAAAAATGTGGGCTTTCGCCTTATTTTCACCTTTCGTGCATCCGCTCCTCCCATGTGTAGACAGGTTTCTGCTGAAACAAAGCAAAGCAAATGTGATTAATAATGGCCCTGTTTCACCATCCAGACAATGTGTGCACTGGTAGCTATGGCATACCATAGCATCACTCAAATGACGTTGCATGTGATCTCTTAGTTTATGATGAATTGCGTTTGGAACAGAGTGAGAGGTTCTGAAAAACCGTACCAAAAACAGAGGTTTGAGTTCAAATACTGCTAGCATGCTGCTGGTGCTGGTACCGCAGTGTGCTAGCGTTCTGGGATGCTGTCATAGCTTAGCGTCACAGTGAAGTTTGTTGACACTGCCATGGAAACCCAATGCTCTGACACACGCAGCGCACTGCAGTGCTCTGCCGTGAAACACCACCCATGAATGTTGGTTGCATGACCAGGATCGGAGCAGTGTGGCCATTAGCGTCGCCACGGGGGGGGGGGCAAGCGGGGCAGCTTGCCCCCCCCCCAACCTCGGACCGGGCACCCCCTGAGATCGATACAGATCCGATGAGATTTTGGAGTCGGGAAAAAATGGGGGTACCTTTCTGAGAATGCCTGTGAGGTCAGAGACGGTCAGACTCGGTTGGAGCGTGCAGTTCAAACCAGAGTCTGACTCGCAGTCGCCAAAATCTTCAAGACTCTGAGTCCAGACTCGGAAATGTCAATGTTGTGATTCATTCCATGTTCCTAGTTCGTTCTTTAATACATTTTACAGCTGATTTTCATAAGTTTTGGAGTGCTGACACAATTTTCGTTCAAAGCGTGAAACGAAATCTTCGGGGCCTTTCTCAACTCTCGTCAAATGTCTGCGACAGGCTCAAGTACCGTACAAGTGTCGCAGGGCTCATGAGCTTACTTTAAACAAAGGCTCCTACGGAGCTCCGCTGATCCCTAAAGAAGCTTCCAGAGGGCCCAAACCGGCCTCTGAAAGTCCCACTGGTGTCCATCTTCTCTGAGGGCCCATACTGGGATATTTGAGTCTTCGGACATTTCTGAGAACCTTAACTGGCCTCTGATATTTTAGCTAAACTTTTGAGGTGACAGACTTTGCTAACCCCAAGCCGGCATCTGAGGGGTCACAGCTCACATGTCCCTTTGAGGTCCGCAACACAGGCTTATTACATGTATGTCCCTACGTAGGGTCCTTAGGGATTCGACACAGACCCCGAGGGTTCACACTGTTACCCGAGGGCTCCAGGCTCACCCTGGGCCTAGTCTCTTAGCGCCCGCCGCCCACACTGGCTTCTGAGGCTCGGAAAGCCCTAAAGCACCACGTACACGTAAATATTTGAGGTGACCCACGCCGATCTCCGGGATCCTAAGCATGCTTCTGAGAGTCAGCACTGACTCTGAGTGGCCTGAAATGGTCTGGAAGTCCCAAACCTATCTCTAAGGATCCCTTGCCGGTATGCCGTGCGCAACTTTTGGTTCCGTTTAACAGTTTTTGTTCGCGTTTGCAGCGCTTCCCTTCGCAAGAAAAACGAGAAACTTTTGTTCACACTCGAGTGAACAAAACACTTCCTCTCACTGGATCAAAGATGATTTTTTTCCGATTCACACTTCCGACATTCACTCTCCGCCGAATGCCCAACGTAGCTAGTTACGATCGGCGGCTGGGATAAGTCCTATGCATTTCACATAAAACCTCTGCATGCATGCGTGAATGGAAGTTTTAGCAGGGTGATCCGATTAAATGGAGCGTTTTTCACCTTTTTCTGGGTAATGATCATGAGCGTCGAGCGTCTCCACAGGGGCCCTCTGCAGTGCGTCGGCAATCGCAGCCACATATAACTATAATTCTAGGTACTAGGTTAGGTACTATAATTCTACCAGTCGTTTTTGTCATGAAATTTCAAAATTTCAAATTTTTTTCTGTAAAAATTACATGTCATAGCTAGAAGGAGACCTTTGTCACCATCGGATTCCTCGCACCATTGCGCGTCGAATGATATGTAAAACGAGCGGGTAAAGACTGAGGAAAGGCAAGTTTTAACACAAAAGTTGATTTTGCCCCCCAACCGAAAATCTCTGGCGACGCCTATGAGTGTGGCAGACAGTGATTTTAATTTTAATTACGGAGCGAGCGAAGCGAGCGTAGTCTTTCCTTAGATTAACGGAAATTTCTGAGTATGAGCGGCCGGCCGGCCGGCCGGCCGTGGTCACGCTTTTGCGAGGCTTATATCTCAGCAACCACTTGACCGATTTACACGCGGTAATTTTTGTAGGGTAGCTTCATTCCTTCTACCAAGTATTGGACTATTCCTGATGCATGTGGGTGACCCCTTATGCACGTGCCACGTGCAAAACGAAGAGGTGTCCGTTTTGTAATTGTTGCAATATCTCGGTAACTACTTGGCCGATTGCGCTGAAAGTTGGCATGTAGGTAGGCACCCACTAGGCACTGCATATCCATGTGCCAGAGTTGGGGCGCTGCTGCACGTGCACACGTGCAGGGGTCGTTTCCAGATCTCGAGAACGGCTCGACCGATTGCGCTCAAATTTGGTACACGGTTAGGGACCAGTTAGTAGGGTGCCGTGCACAAGTCAGTTGGGACCCATTTTGCACGTGCGCACGTGCAGGGTGCCGCTTCCAGATCTCGAGAACGGCTGGGCCAATTGTGCCCAAATTTGGCACATCGCTAGAGACCGGTTAGTAGGGTGCCGTGCACAAGTCAGTTGGAGGTACCCCCTCACAATTTCGCACGTGCAAGGCCCACCCTCTCGCTCGCTCCATTAGTCGCCCCAAAAGGTGTTATACTGGTTGCACTTCCTAGAGATTAACAAGTTGTTGGTCAAATTGCTATTCATTATTCCTATTACCATTGTCTAAATTTCACATTTCAAGACAGCATCAGCATTGACATGTTATATAAATAAGGTTTAGACTTCAGGTGGCCCCGGGTTCAGCTATTAAGTAGAACAAGGGCAAAAAATTGTCAAAAAATATTTTAAAAAAATACCTGCCTTCATCAACACCTCATCTACTAATAATCACATATCTCTATACAATCAAACGCAGAGGGACCCTCCCACCTTCAAAAAAGTTAATGAATTGGCATGAAATTGATGTCGCTCGGTTCAGAAAGAGCAAAAAACGAATATCTACCAAATTTCATCGAAAAATATTCACCGGTTTTCAAGATATTAGACTTTTACTTTTGTTTACTTTTTGGGATCTCCGCTGTTCCTAGACGTTCGTATAATTGCATGCAGATTGATATCAATCTCGTACATGCAGATTCCGGACAATTTCAAATTGGCTCAAAATGGGCATATAGACCAAACAGGATACGCTGATCACGAATCCGAAGTCCGTTCCGCGGCACATATGAAACTTTTCCCGGAATTTCCGAATTCTGAATCTGCATGCGGATTCCGGACAATTTCAAATCGGCTCAAAATGGGCATATAGACCAAACAGGATACGCTGATCACGAATCCGAAGTCCGTTCCGCGGCACATATGAAACTTTTCCCGGAATTTCCGAATTCCGAATCTGCATGCAGATTCCGGACAATTTCAAATCGGCTTAAAATGGGCATATAGACCAAACAGGATACGCTGATCACGAATCCGAAGTCCGTTCCGCGGCACATATGAAACTTTTCCCGGAATTTCCGAATTCCGAATCTGCATGCAGATTCCGGACAATTTCAAATCGGCTCAAAATGGGCATATAGACCAAACAGGATACGCTGATTACGAATCCGAAGTCCGTTCCGCGGCACATATGAAACTTTTCCCGGAATTTTCGAATCCCGAATCTGCATGCGGATTCCGGACAGTTCAAATCGGCTCAAAATGGGCATATAGACCAAACAGGATACGCTGATCACGAATCCGAAGTCCGTTCCGCGGCACATATAAAACTTTTCCCGGAATTTCCGAATTCCGAATCTGCATGGAGATTCCGGACAATTTCAAATCGGCTTAAAATGGGCATATAGACCAAACAGGATACGCTGATCACGAATCCGAAGTCCGTTCCGCGGCACATATGAAACTTTTCCCGGAATTTCCGAATTCTGAATCTGCATGCGGATTCCGGACAATTTCAAATCGGCTCAAAATGGGCATATAGACCAAACAGGATACGCTGATCACGAATCCGAAGTCCGTTCCGCGGCACATATGAAACTTTTCCCGGAATTTCCGAATTCCGAATCTGCATGCAGATTCCGGACAATTTTAAATCGGCTCAAAATGGGCATATAGACCAAACAGGATACGCTGATCACGAATCCGAAGTCCGTTCCGCGGCACATATGAAACTTTTCCCGGAATTTCCGAATTCTGAATCTGCATGCGGATTCCGGACAATTTCAAATCGGCTCAAAATGGGCATATAGACCAAACAGGATACGCTGATCACGAATCCGAAGTCCGTTTCGCGGCACATATGAAACTTTTCCCGGAATTTCCGAATTCCGAATCTGCATGCAGATTCCGGACAATTTCAAATCGGCTCAAAATGGGCATATAGACCAAACAGGATACGCTGATCACGAATCCGAAGTCCGTTCCGCGGCACATATGAAACTTTTCCCGGAATTTCCGAATTCCGAATCTGCATGCAGATTCCGGACAATTTCAAATCGGCTCAAAATGGGCATATAGACCAAACAGGATACGCTGATCACGAATCCGAAGTCCGTTCCGCGGCACATATGAAACTTTTCCCGGAATTTCCGAATTCTGAATCTGCATGCGGATTCCGGACAATTTCAAATCGGCTCAAAATGGGCATATAGACCAAACAGGATACGCTGATCACGAATCCGAAGTCCGTTCCGCGGCACATATGAAACTTTTCCCGGAATTTCCGAATTCCGAATCTGCATGCAGATTCCGGACCATTTCAAATCGGCTCAAAATGGGCATATAGACCAAACAGGATACGCTGATCACGAATCCGAAGTCCGTTCCGCGGCACATATGAAACTTTTCCCGGAATTTCCGAATTCTGAATCTGCATGCGGATTCCGGACAATTTCAAATCGGCTCAAAATGGGCATATAGACCAAACAGAATACGCTGATCACGAATCCAAAGTCCGTTCCGCGGCACATATGAAACTATTCCCGGAATTTCCGAATTCCGAATCTGCATGCAGATTCCGGACATTTTCAAATCGGCTCAAAATGGGCATATAGACCAAACAGGATACGCTGATCACGAATCCGAAGTCCGTTCCGCGGCACATATGAAACTTTTCCCGGAATTTCCGAATTCTGAATCTGCATGCGGATTCCGGACAATTTCAAATCGGCTCAAAATGGGCATATAGACCAAACAGGATACGCTGATCACGAATCCGAAGTCCGTTCCGCGGCACATATGAAACAGCGTATCCTGTTTGGTCTATATGCCCATTTTGAGCCGATTTGAAATTGTCCGGAATCCGCATGCAGATTCAGAATTCGGAAATTCCGGGAAAAGTTTCATATGTGCCGCGGAACGGACTTTAGATTCGTGATCAGCGTATCCTGTTTGGTCTATATGCCCATTTTGAGCCGATTTGAAATTGTCCGGAATCTGCATGCAGATTCGGAATTCGGAAATTCCGGGAAAAGTTTCATATGTGCCGCGGAACGGACTTCGGATTCGTGATCAGCGTATCCTGTTTGGTCTATATGCCCATTTTGAGCCGATTTGAAATTGTCCGGAATCCGCATGCACATTCGGGATTCGGAAATTCCGGGAAAAGTTTCATATGTGCCGCGGAACGGACTTCGGATTCGTGATCAGCGTATCCTGTTTGGTCTATATGCCCATTTTGAGCCGATTTGAAATTGTCAGATAGGCGTTATCACTAGTGTATTCGCGGCCATTGGGGCGACGTAAGAAAAGAGGAAAACAACTGGCCCCAAGAACTTTAAATTATCAGTTAGCATGCATCTTTACCTTGATATGTAGTTAATTTACCATTAATTGTTAAGAGAAAATTGCATATAAAATCTTCCATTTATGCTTTTTTCATCGTTTGCATAATATGTTCTTTTACTAAGCTAGAAACACTAATTAGAAATAGTTCCCGCATCTCGTCAAGAACAATAGGAAAGGCTTGAAGTGAAGAGAATAATCTAAATGGTTTCGTAATCTATGTGAAGACACTTTTAAAATTGCCTGTAGAAATATTGAAGGCAAAAGTTCAACTTTTTCACAAGACGGATGTCTATAAACCTATTCAACGTGTGACAACTCAGCAGGTATTTCGTCGCCTACAGCCAAGCTTTCCCTAGTGACCGATAGAGGCGCTGCTATCGATGTCCGCCCGTGCCGCCTAACGTCCGGAATCTGCATGCAGATTCGGAATTCGGAAATTCCGGGAAAAGTTTCATATGTGCCGCGGAACGGACTTCGGATTCGTGATCAGCGTATCCTGTTTGGTCTATATGCTCATTTTGAGCCGATTTGAAATTGTCCGGAATCCGCATGCAGATTCGGGATTCGGAAATTCCGGGAAAAGTTTCATATGTGCCGCGGAACGGACTTCGGATTCGTGATCAGCGTATCCTGTTTGGTCTATATGCCCATTTTGAGCCGATGTGAAATTGTCCGGAATCTGCATGCAGATTCGGAATTCGGAAATTCCGGGAAAAGTTTTATATGTGCCGCGGAACGGACTTCGGGTTCGTGATCAGCGTATCCTGTTTGGTCTATATGTTCATTTTGAGCCGATTTGAAATTGTCCGGAATCCGCATGCAGATTCAGAATTCGGAAATTCCGGGAAAAGTTTCATATGTGCCGCGGAACGGACTTCGGATTCGTGATCAGCGTATCCTGTTGACTTCGGATTCGTGATCAGCGTATCCTGTTTGGTCTATATGCCCATTTTGAGCCGATTTGAAATTGTCCGGAATCTGCATGCAGATTCGGAATTCGGAAATTCCGGGAAAAGTTTCATATGTGCCGCGGAACGGACTTCGGATTCGTGATCAGCGTATCCTGTTTGGTCTATATGCCCATTTTGAGCCGATTTGAAATTGTCCGGAATCTGCATGCAGATTCGGAATTCGGAAATTCCAGGAAAAGTTTCATATGTGCCGCGGAACGGACTTCGGATTCGTGATCAGCGTATCCTGTTTGGTCTATATGCCCATTTTGAGCCGATTTGAAATTGTCCGGAATCTGCATGCAGATTCGGAATTCGGAAATTCCGGGAAAAGTTTCATATGTGCCGCGGAACAGACTTCGGATTCGTGATCAGCGTATCCTGTTTGGTCTATATGCCCATTTTGAGCCGATTTGAAATTGTCCGGAATCCGCATGCAGATTCGGGATTCGGAAATTCCGGGAAAAGTTTCATATGTGCCGCGGAACGGACTTCGGATTCGTGATCAGCGTATCCTGTTTGGTCTATATGCCCATTTTGAGCCGATTTGAAATTGTCCGGAATCTGCATGCAGATTCGGAATTCGGAAATTCCGGGAAAAGTTTCATATGTGCCGCGGAACGGACTTCGGATTCGTGATCAGCGTATCCTGTTTGGTCTATATGCCCATTTTGAGCCGATTTGAAATTGTCCGGAATCCGCATGCAGATTCAGAATTCGGAAATTCCGGGAAAAGTTTCATATGTGCCGCGGAACGGACTTCGGATTCGTGATCAGCGTATCCTGTTTGGTCTATATGCCCATTTTGAGCCGATTTGAAATTGTCCGGAATCTGCATGCAGATTCGGAATTCGGAAATTCCGGGAAAAGTTTCATATGTGCCGCGGAACAGACTTCGGATTCGTGATCAGCGTATCCTGTTTGGTCTATATGCCCATTTTGAGCCGATTTGAAATTGTCCGGAATCCGCATGCAGATTCGGGATTCGGAAATTCCGGGAAAAGTTTCATATGTGCCGCGGAACGGACTTCGGATTCGTGATCAGCGTATCCTGTTTGGTCTATATGCCCATTTTGAGCCGATTTGAAATTGTCCGGAATCCGCATGCAGATTCAGAATTCGGAAATTCCGGGAAAAGTTTCATATGTGCCGCGGAACGGACTTCAGATTCGTGATCAGCGTATCCTGTTTGGTCTATATGACCATTTTGAGCCGATTTGAAATTGTCCGGAATCTGCATGCAGATTCGGAATTCGGAAATCCCGGGAAAAGCTTCATATGTGCCGCGGAACGGACTTCGGATTC